AAAGGGTTGTGGTGCAACGTTAAGGTCTTTCCATTAGTTCAATCGTCTCTTACGAATAAGGTAATAGCAGCCCAAATCTTAAAAGGTTTCAGACATCACACACCATTCTCGAGTTGTATGACGGCTCAAGGAATTTTCAAAAACACCTCAATTTTTTTTTTTTTTGGCATCTCCTTTATATGTTGTGCCTTCTCCCTTATCCTAAAGAAGGTAATTAATTCTCTTCTTTATCCCCAATTTGGTAGACTACTATGATGACTTAAAAAAGAATTTCTTATCACATTTCCACCACCATCAATGCACAATCGATGTCCTCTCACATCCTTTCGAGGGTATAAAACAAAGACATGAACATCCTCAACTCAAACATGCTTGAGAGGGTGTGGTGCAGCGTCAAGATTTTCCCATGCTGAGTAACTCTTCACGAATAGGGTAACAAAAGCTTAAATCCTAAAATGTTTCAAACATCCCACCAACATTTAGTTATATGACGGCTAAGGGATCACTAAGAACATTTGGATTTTTATATTTTTTTGACGGCCTAAAGAAGATGTATTGAGTGTTGGACAAATGATTTCAATATTCAAGAGATGAGGTGAATTGAATTGTAAAAATATTTTTGCAAAATGTCTCACTTTCTTTAAAAAATAATTTCTTGGGATTCTATGATTTTTTTTTTAGTTTTTTGAAAATATTCCAATCGGTTCATTGCTTCGCAACTTGTACCGTTGGGATCTATAAGCCCACTATGTTGCCTTTAGGGATTAAGTCACTGTATGGGTGATACCTTTAGCACAGGTAAAGACCAAGCTAGGCGACACTATCCCAAGTATGAATGCAGCAGATGATTATGGGGAGGGGAATGTGTGTATGTGACTCAAGGTAAATGGACAGAATAACGATACATAAGATGTCTCTCCTTATGCATGGAGAGGGGTATTTATAGGGGAAGAGAATGCTGATCCTGCGTGGATTGGTGAGAAGGGGTCAATCCTTCTTGGGATCAGTTGGGGGTGGCTGCATCACTGCTATGATAGCAGTGATGCAGCCTCTGTGCCTGGCGATGCCAGCGTATGGCAACAGGGTGGTTACCACTTATGGTGTGTGAGGCGTTCTCCCAGGGAGTTGGAATCCCAAGGTGAATCATTTTGGTAATTCACCTAGGGAGTGCAATCGCCTTGGGGGTAGAGAGTCTGGTGGGTTGGTAGGGCTGACGCGGACAAGAGGAAAGGGTTTGGGCTTAGGCCACTGGGCCATATGGCGTTGGGCCATCCGGAACACAACTAATCCGATTCAGGGCGGGTTCAGGATTAAGGCTTTAAACACCTCCCAAAGGTGGTACTGGGGAGATTCGAACACATGCTCTCACCCCACCTGCTTAGCTCCCATTCGCCAACTGAGCTACCACCATTTGGTGGGATTCTATGATTTAGGATAAGCAAAATATACTGGATAACAACTTAGACAAGCTAATAATGAACACAAATTAGAAGCTAAATATGATCAAATATGATATGAATATTTATGTAAATGAGATAAGGGTTAGAGAAAGTGAGAACTCTGATTATCCTAGTTCGATCAAAACTACCATGACCTACATCTAGCCTTTAATCACCACAGCAACCTCCAAGATTTTGGTTCTTGGACACCTGGCACGTTAATCACCCAAATTTCTTACGCAATAGGCTATATTTTCCACTAGGTCTCATTACCCTCAACTCAAGTATACAATATGAAAGTGTTTAAGAATGAATAAGTACTTTTAAAGTACAAATTATACAAATTGAAGGCCAGTTGGTGTATAGCTTAAAGAATAATAATGAGCTAATTAAAGTGTATGATAATCAAGTAAAGATGTAATCAATGAGCAAGAATGTGTTAGGAGAAGTAATAATGGCCCAATAAATAATATATTTAAGTTCCAGACCTAATAGAGCCGTTATGAACGAGGATTTAAAGGTTTTATATAAAACATAGTTGTTTATAGTTATTGGAAACTTTTATGAAAAGTATTTACCCAATTAAATTTCAAAGCTTACTAGAGTAAATTGTTCATCAGGGATTTAACATTTACTCGAGTAATTTCCCAATTTTACTCGAATAAATTATTAACTTGCATAAGTATCTTGACTTACTTGAGTAAACCAAAGCAGATGACATAAAAAATGCAAAATTCAATCCCTTTCAATTTCAAACCATTTTTAACATTATGGACATATATAATTGGACAATTCCCCCACACTTATCTTTTTACACTCCTGGGAAAAAACTAAAACAGAAAGCAAAGACTAAGATCAACCAATCCTTGGCACTTGAGCACTTGAATTTGCATTGCTTTGACATACACTTGCATTCTTTTTGAATGTTGCTTGTTATGACTCTTGAATCATCTTTTCCAAGCTTATTTGTTATTATCAAAACTATGTTAATGTGGCATCATAAAAAAATATAAACCGTGAGAGCCTAGGGTACACATCAGCACCTTGATTTCACATTGAGATGGGTTTTTATCACTACCCTAAACTTGATAGTTTATTAGGATAACTATTCTAAGAAATTTTTATTGCATTTCATCACTAGCAAAGCACAATAAGGTTTTCTCACACCTTTTGTAGGGTAAAACAAAGACATAATGAGTCTCTCGAGAATTATCTTGCTAAGTTCAACAAAAAATCACTACTAATCAAGGACTTGGATGCTAAAGTTGTATTATACCTACTAATTAAAAGGCTACAAATTGGGTCTTTCACCACATCCTTAGCTAAGCGCAAAGGAAAATAAATGTATGAATTGGGAGCAAGGTCGAAAAAATATATAAACCTAAAAATATTTGAAAAAGCCAAGTTAGCAAAGTCTTTGAGGTGCTGGAGATAGGCAGATGCTCAAGGATCAAGATCCCCTTCCTTTTAGGGATAATGTTGGCAAAAACATGCAATTAGTCGCCACCTAAATGCAAATACTAGGGGGTGTGAAAAAAACCTAATGAACTAAACTAAACTATGAATTGATCCATACCGCACCAATAAAACTACATTTTTTAACCGGTTCAAGAATTCAATCATTTTATTCGAATTAGTTTAAGAACCGAACCACTTTTCAACATTGATTCGGTTTGCTCAAACTAAACCACTTTTCTAATTTGGTTCGGTAAAGAAAACAGAACTGTGCACACCCTTATCAAATACTAGGAATACACGACTTTGAATGCTCCCAAATCTTGGTACTCCAAGAGTTGATGAATATTGAGTTTTTAGACATCCACTTTTCCCCCTCCTTTGAAGAAACATGCCAAAAACCAAAAAAAAAGTCAAAGCATTGCAAGTTCCATGGAAGGTATTGCTACAACAAAAAGGAGTATATTGTATATATGGGGGATGCAATGACTAAGCATGTCTGAGATGACGCCTTAAACCAATGTGTATGTCAAATGTGGAACTCAAGATTTTGAAGTTGTAAGAGGCAGGAGTCACAGCTAACAAACAAAATTCCCATCATGACACAAAAGAAGGGCCTAACCGAGGTGCAATTGTCGAAGGGAAATATCTCTTGCCAAAGCCCAACAGGCTTGGAGACAACATTCATTTGGTAACAAGGAACACTAAAACTATGGAATCCCGAAAAAAATATTCATGGCGTCACGCACATTATTTCAAGAGGTTTCGTCTAGGGCCAGAGGCGAATCCAACACGGCTAAAAAAACATCTAAGTATTATTTTGAAGAAATTTGAGCATCAAATTGAGATTGCAAGTATCCCCTCTACTGTAACGTGTAAGGAGGAACATTTTCAGCTAAAAAATATTTTGGGATGTGAACAATCAAATGAATCGAACATCTCGAATCATATGACAAAACAAACCAGTAACGTCGTTGCAATTTGTAGAAAAAACATATATGGGAAAAAGAAGTATCCTTTTAAAGAATACAAACTTGTGTCCTTTTAGGTGATTTACATAAAGTCTGACTACAAGACTTTGTGTAAATATAAAAAATTACTTTTTTTTCTCTCTTTCCAGTCACATCGTTGACGTGTAAAGCGAAAAAAAGATCTTTTAGATTTACACAAAATGTTACTAGTCAGACTTTATGTAAGTCACCAAAAGGATGCAACTTGTGTCCTTTTAAAGGACATCCACTAATCCCAAAACATATATAGTTATTATTTTCCTTGTATTTTTCATTAATTCCATTAAGAAAATGACTAAATTTAAGAGTGTTGTTAATACACGAATTTGATCAATATCAAGTCCCATAATTTTAAGAAATAAACTTAAAATCATCTACACAAGGAAATAAAAGAGTTTTAAGGTCGATTTATAAATGCCTGTTTGGATCCTCTTTTTTTAAGCTAGAAGATACTTATAAGCATAAGTTAGGCCAAACTGGTTTTGAGAAAAACTCTTATAACAAAAAGCTCTTTTTTTATAATGAAGAAAAAAGTTGAAAACTAAAAGCTCCTAGGAAGAGCTTTTTTTAAGCTCTTATCTGTTTTTCTTGAATTGTGTGCTTTTTTTAAAAAAAATGAAGAGTGATAAAGATAGAGAGAGAGATAATTTTCTTGAAATATGTGCTTTTAAATAATTTTTAAGCTAAAATTTTTATGTAATTTTCAAACAGTTTTTAGCTTATTTTTTTAAGCTCTTTTTTTTAGCTTTAGCTTATAAGTAGCTTCTAGCTTAAAAATAAGAAGATCCAAACATGCTTTAAATATAGTATGACTAATAAATATAGTATATGTATGACCAATACATATAGTATGACTAATTTATAAACCTTGTCAACCTAAACTGTGAAACAAAATGATAAAAATAAATAGAAAACAAAATCAAAGAAACAAAAACATATACGTCATAATTATCACATAAATAACATGTGAGTGACAACACAATTCAATATAGAAAGAAAAAGAAACAAAACGGTGACACACTATGGAAGAGAGTGACGCAGCAAATGACTCCTCAAGTAGCTGAATAGTTATTTTTTTATTTTTTAAGTTAAGGTGATGGCAATTTGGTTTTCTCCGGTATTTTCACATAAGTTTTGACTCTTTAAACTCATTATAAAACTAATTCAGAGTACGAGTTATATTAGGAATAAGGGTGAAACTGGGTTGAGCTGGACTGAGCCAAGCTTTGTTCGAAAAGTCCAAGCCTACGTCAAAAAATTTCAATTTGGCTTGGCCCAAACCTAGTACGAGTCTAACTATTAGCCTGACTTGACTCGTCTATAAGAAAACAAATGGCCTGACCTAGCCCATTAGCCTGTTATAATTTTTAACTTCCAAAGAGAATCATGTATCAACTTTACAAAATACTCAAATTCTATTGCTAATACAAAAATCATAATTTCAACGTCCAAACAGAATCATGAATCACAACAAAACTCATACAACCTGCATTTAAGTCACTTTCAAAAAATAAAATGCTTACACTAAATAACATATATTTCATTAGATCTAACAAACAAATCCATACTATGTAAATTAAAATAACTACATGAATCCAACAAATACATCATGATGTTTGTAGTAAGTATAACCTCTCCCAAAAACCTTTTAATATATTCATATACACAATCTAATATGTTGAAATGTCGGTTTCTCCTACATAAAAAAATAAAGTCAGATTTCAATTAAAATATAATAGAATATAATTAAATTTAAATATTTTCAATTGATTAATTTATATTTTTTATTTTTTCTTCAAGGTATACTTATTCTATTTTATTTTATTTAAAATAAATAGTATAATATAAGCCGGTCTGTAGGCTTATAGGCCAGACCTTATGAAAGAGAGCCTACGACCTTTTTATTAAACAAGCTTTTTCAAAGCCTAAGTCCGGCTTAATTTACGAAATATACTAGGTCAGGTCTGACCTGACGTAGGTCGAGCCGTAGCTGGCTCGGCCCAATTTCACCCCTAATTAGGAATAATGGATAAGATATTATTACTATCAAATAATGTTACTACCAATATCACTATCATATCTTAACTGTTAATTTTTGCCTATTAATGATTATTATTTCTACATATCAAATTTGTTAATTAATTATTAATTCGTAATAAATAATAACCGTTAATTAATAAAAATCAACGATTAAAATATGATAATATCATTAATAATCACATTATTTGATAGCAATGATATTTAAACCCTTCTGGAAAATAATATATAAAGAATTCAATCAAACCTTTTCATTTTCACTTATGCTGGATAGTCAAATACACGTTGATTTGAAACATTCTAGTTCATGGCCCCTTTCCTTCATTTTCCTAGTAATTTCCATTGAAACGTTTGGAACCCGTCCACTACCGATGCCTTAAACTTCCTCTCACTCTTCTATTTCGGTCAACTTGTTTACTTCTCACTCCTCACTGCTTTTCCTATTCAATTCAACCATTCTTCTTCCATCTTTGCTTCTCTTCTCTTCTCTCTTTCTCTCTCACAGGAAAAATCCTCTCTCTCTCTTGCCAAGTTTTTTACTCTTGGTTTCCTGGTTTTCCATTCATGGGGTGCTGATATTGCATTTTTTGCTTCATGGGTTTTCCCAAAACTGGTTCTTTTGAGATGGGTTGGTGAGTTCTATTTTTGGGTTGGCATTGATTTTGGACAGCGGAAAATTGCTTCTCTTCTAAGGAAATTGAAGCCTTCAGCGCCTTTTGTTCCTGTGGAAATCGAAGATAGCATAAGCAGCTATGAGAACTCCCTTGCAATGGTGTACACTGGCCCTCCTCTCAGTTACTCCATCCCTGAAGTTTCTGCTTTTGAAATTGACCAAATCCCAGTTGCAACTCTAGCTCCTTCTCAGTCTCATGATTTCTCTGTGCCAGTTATCCAACCTCTTTCCAAAACTCATCACAAAAAGAATCACAAGGATTCTGTTGTGTCTTCAAATTTGGATACTGGTCCACTTGGATCATCAAACACTGCTTTTGATTTGCATAAGAGTACAGGCACTTTGGAAGCACCTGGGGTTGTTGGTGATGATAGAGATGGCAGAGGGTTTCACAGTAATTCTGACACCACAGAATCAGGTTCAAGTTCAAGTTCTCTTTCTGGTTCTTCAGAGATTTGTTCTCTCAGAGAAAATGAACATAAGAGTGAAACTCCAAGCCCAAAACATGTCAAGCGTCTTTCTGCTGTGACCTTTCTTGATCCTGAGTCAAGTTACATGGTAGATACAGATAATGAGGAGTTTGGTGATTCTCAAGTGGGAAGTGTCCCTGAGAAGCCACAAGCTGTGAGACCTGGGAAGAAAGGTTCTTGCTATCTGTGCCTTAAAGGGAATCGTCTCACTGAGAAGGAGGTTTGCATTGTTTGTGGTGCAAAGTATTGCCGCAGCTGTGTCATAAGGGCAATGGGGTCCATGCCACAGGGAAGAAAATGTGTTACTTGCATTGGATACAGAATTGATGAGAACAAGCGGTGGAAGCTTGGGAAATGTTCTCGGATGCTCAAGAAGTTGCTGTCTGAGTTCTTGGTGGCTCAAATCATGCAAGATGAGAGGTCTTGTGAAGCAAATCAAATACCACCAGAGTTTGTTCATGTGAACTTGGAACCTCTTAATAGGAAACAGCTCATGTTGCTCCTCAACTGTCCAAACCCACCAAAGCAACTACAACCCGGATCCTATTGGTATGATAAATCATCTGGATTTTGGGGAAAGGTGAAAAATTAACCTCAGCAAGTACTTATTATTATCTATTTAATCTCAACCTCTCCATGGACACACCTCTAGGATTAGTTTAGCATGTCTTAGACAATGGAGCTACCACATGCTACAATATTAGAGAAATATAAAACTATTAATATAACTGGCTTAATCTTTTAGGTTGAATTGATTTTTTACATAGTATTAGTGACTAAGTGGTGACGAGTTCTCTTGTCACATGGTGGCGACAACTGTTGTGCCCAGGGTCCCTTTCTACATGCCTTATACAATGAGGCTGGAAAATTGGGGAATGAGCCTTCAATGATAATTTCACATAAAAATCTCATTCATGAATCTTTCACCTCATTTAATGTGTTTTTCAGAATGAAGCTCTAATCTGCTGTTTTGCTTGATTATACAGGAAGGTCAACCTCCTTGTGAAATCATAACCCCCCAATTGGATGTTGGGGGTCGGTTGAAGGAAAATGCAAGCAATGGAAACACAAAAGTGACCATAAATGGTCGCGAGATTACAAAGAAAGAGCTGTGGATACTGAAGGTTGTTGAGCTATGAACACTGTCATATTTTATTGCAAATGGTTTTGTATTAAATGTTACATTACATTGTTTGTTGCAGCTGGCAGGAGTGCCGTGTGTAGGAACTCTCAACTTTTGGGTGAATGCTGATGGGTCATGCCAGGAGGAGGGACAGAAGAATGACAGGGGGCGTATATGGGATAAGGTGATCATTGTTGAGATTCCATTAATTTTTAGTACTCCTATAGTGGGGGCGAATCGGAGCAGTGGTAAAACAGTTCCTTCATGACTGAAAGGTCATAGGTTCAAATTCAGGAAACAGTCTCTTTGCAATTATGTAAGGGTAAGGCTGCGTACAAGGATTTCCTACACCCCACACTTGCTAGTCGAAGGACTAACCACGGTGCATAAGACTTCCCAACTTGCGAGGGTAGGAGTTACGGTTGATTATATGCAGTCTTATCTTTGTATTTTTGCAAAGAAACAGTTTCCCATACTCAAATCTGTGACCTTTCGGTCACAAGGAACAACCTTATCGCTCCTCTCGCCCTCTATATAGTACATTACCATACTTACTAAAATTAGAAATACATGGACTTAAGCGAGTGGATGAGTTTTTAATTGTAATGGGTGTAGTATGTGATACAGGAGTATTAAAACGTGTCATCAATTATTATGGGTTTCCCTTTTGCAGAATCGAGCAAAGTTGGCTTGTGCAATTCTGTCTCTGCCAGTTCCTTCAAAGTCTCTGTCTCCTTCTCGGGAAGGCGAAATAGCGAATAAAGTTAATGAAGACAACATTCAACATAAAACACTTCACAAATTTCTACTTGTTGGTTCTGTCAATTCTGGAGCATGTACTATATTCAAACAGGTAGGATACTCCTTGACATAACTCAAATTTTTTTTTTCATGCACTTGTATTGGTATGCATGCATGCTTAATGATCTAGCAAAGAACATGTGATACCAGTAAATTAAATGACGTATGCTGTTATTTTAAATGCTGAAGGATAGCTCAATTCTTTTTCTAACTTTCACCTCTCCATAACTCATTTATAGATCATGTTCATAGCTGTGAAAGTGCAGATGATGGTATTGCATCCTCTCCACAAATTTCAGCTCTTAAATTTACTTCTCGTGTCATAATATGGGTTATGTTATGTCCTATCCTATCAATATAGTTTTGGATATAGGAGAACTAAATATGGAGTTGTCCAGCAGACTTGAGCCTTATTAGTAGAAATGCTTAATTTATGAGTGTGTTCTTGTGTGTAATTTCAATGTTGGCGCATAAGAACTTCAGTTGTGGATTCTTATCAGTCACATTAGTCTTGAGTGCTTAATCTGTATCTTATAAATTTCTTCTTGATATAAGTTATAAGTTGTCGAAGTTTGGAGTTTTTTTTCCTCTTGTGGTGAATATTTGAGTGCAGGTCTGAATTACTCTTTGTTTTTAATTAGAACCTTGACATTGTGTGACACTAAGAACTGAATCATTTTTCTCAGGCCAAGATTCTATATAATGTTCCTTTCTCCGAAAATGAGCTCCAAAATATCAAGTTGGTGATCCAAAGCAATCTTTTTACCTACCTTGGTATCCTGTTGGAGGGGCGTGAAAATTTTGAAGAAGAGAGTTTGCTGGAGAACAGTAAAAGATGGTCTGTTGATGAATCCACTTCATCTGGTAATTGTTTTTCCTCAGATAAAAAAGTTAATCCAGGCCTGTTTCTGTTTGGACTTTGGATGAAATAAGGGGCAGCATTGTTCTGAACACTTTCCCTATTCAAAATTTTCTGGATAGTGTAGACTGTAAAATAGGTTGTCTTATCCATTCAACCTTCCTTTAACAATGTTCAAAACAAGAGCAGGAATATTGTCAACTTTTCTATGATTTTCCTCCTTTTTTCAACTACAAAACAGTTAATCTATGTTTTTTTAGTCCCTTGCAAACTGCAATGGATGCAGGGCTTTCCTTTTTCTATGATATGTAGTTTATATGATTTTGTATTGGTGGAGGACTGATGCTTTTGACACTTCCATTACCTTCATGACTTTGTTGGGGCCTTTGTATACTGTGATTTTGATTCTTGTAAAAAAAAATCTTACCTTTAGTTTTGTGATTATTTTTTCACATTGCTCCTAAAAGACGGTAGACCCTTGTTAATTAGCTGATAGAAGAAGCTTGTCTGCCATTACATGGAAATTTA